CTACTGCCCACCTCTGGACTAACAAGTAACATGTTGACACTAGTAACAGGCTGAGGTTGACAACATTACACCGAAATCTTTCGTACAGTTTTATTCTGTAATTTATACTATGTATGTATCATGCTGGTTTTTAAATAATATTTAATACTATTAAGTAAAATCTAAAGGCTTTATCTATAAATATAGCGGTAGCGCTGTAGCGGCAAAACCTCGAATTGCTACTTAAATATGTAGCTGGCGCTGCCGCTACCGCTACAATTGCTTAAATGTAGCGCCGCTACCGCTAATGAAAATGTAGCGGCCGCTACATGTAGCGCGCTACTGCCCACATCTGCATTTAGAGTCATGCTCTCAATAATAGATAATGTTTCCGTTGCTTAAACATAAAATATCACATGGCGATTGGATTAGTCGTGGCTGAGAAACTTGATTTAGTAATAATTTTTTGTCAACGTTTGAAATAAATCGAAATAGTAAATATGACGTGTGTATTAAATAGGCCAATTTAGCATTTCTGGGCATCGTAAAATTATCAAAGCTAGTTAGGGCTTCTCACTACACGAAGTTGCTATTCTCAACTGACCAAATACCTCGCCAGTTTTGTCCTGAACTGTCACAGGAAGCTGGTATAGAACCCGCAACTCACTGCTCTGCTCTCATCATGTTACTCAGAACAACATAACATACAGCTACTCTACAATACAACAGCACGCTACTCTACAATACAACAGCACGCTACTCTACAATACAACAGCACGCTACTCTACAATACAACAGCACGCTACTCTACAATACAACAGCACGCTACTCTACAATACAACAGCACGCTACTCTACAATACAACAGCACGCTACTCTACAATACAACAGCACGCTACTCTACAATACAACAGCACGCTACTCTACAATACAACAGCACGCTACTCTACAATACAACAGCACGCTACTCTACAATACAACAGCACGCTACTCTACAATACAACAGCACGCTACTCTACAATACAACAGCACGCTACTCTACAATACAACAGCACGCTACTCTACAATACAACAGCACGCTACTCTACAATACAACAGCACGCTACTCTACAATACAACAGCACGCTACTCTACAATACAACAGCACGCTACTCTACAATACAACAGCACGCTACTCTACAATACAACAGCACGCTACTCTACAATACAACAGCACGCTACTCTACAATACAACAGCACGCTACTCTACAATACAACAGCACGCTACTCTACAATACAACAGCACGCTACTCTACAATACAACAGCACGCTACTCTACAATACAACAGCACGCTACTCTACAATACAACAGCACGCTACTCTACAATACAACAGCACGCTACTCTACAATACAACAGCACGCTACTCTACAATACAACAG